CGTGGAATTTGCGTGCAAGCAGAGCACAAACCCTTCGCCCCCGCTGTAACGCGCCGTGGTGTGTGATAGACATTAACAAACGCAATCCCACATTGCATTTAATTTAATTCCACTCTTCCTGCCTCGAGCTACAGCTCCCTTCATTTTCATTTTTCCTCTGAATTCCCACAACTCAGACCTCTTTGATTTTCAGGTTTAATTAACAATGCTCATTAAATGAATTTTTATTCATTTCTTTTAATATTACCCTGCCACCTGTCTTTAGGACGCAAGAGCTGATCATTTATTCTAATTTATTTCTATTAAAGATGGCATTTAAGGGAGGGAGGAGGGATATGCAGAGGTGTAAAGGGCCGATCTATTCAAATCTCTTCATCCCCCCTCAAACGCTGTTCAAGGACGCTGCTCCTGAAAGTTCTGTATTTATTTTCCACCAGATCCGTTTCATTTGCTAGGAAAAAATTGGATTGGACATGCTGTGTTTTGCAGTTATGTTCCAGTTCATTCTTAACATCCCTTGCTCGTCTAGTGTGTATAATGCTGAGTCTTTATTCATCTGAAAGAGGTGAAACTGTGCAAAATCTGTGCGGGGAGGGTCATGAGCTGGGCTGCCTGCGGGACCACAGGGTGAGCAAAAGGATGCTCCCCGATGGCAGCTCTGAGGGAAGCCGTGTTTCTGCCCAAAAATGAGACAGAACAGAGGAAACGTGAAATGCTGACAGACAAAGAGAAGGGAAAACAAAAGGTAGAGCTGCCACCCAACAGACTGGGCAAACTGGGCTCATGCTGGGGCACGGCCTGGAGGGACCATGGGGCTGTCAAGGGGTCACGGCTTCTCCCTGCCCAGCCAGCCCAGCAGCGCCCAGGGAGGGGACAGGGAACCTCACAGCACAGCACAGAGCGAGGGGCTGGGATGGCTGTGGGGACTGAGCTCTGGTCGTTCCTCTCCTCCAGTGCTGCACACGCTGTCCCAGCAGCTGCTTGTTCTGTTACTGGTTCAGCATGGCCAGTCCAGATGCCTGGGGGGCATCTGAACACCAGACACCCAATGCAGCTCCTCTTGAGCCTCCCAATTAAAGGCCCATGCCCACATCCAGCTGTGCCCACGTTCTCCTCTGCCAAATGTCCTTCATGTTAACAGGGTGATATGATCACGTCGAGGTCCTCAACACAAGAGCTGCCCCCTCACCCCCAGCTATGGGGAGCATTCGCTGTGGGTTGGGGCCATGTCTCTACCCCAGGGACCACTTGTTGCAGCAGCACCCAAGCCAGAAATCTCTGAAAAACTGGTTTTGTAACAAAGGTCCCAGTGCTCCTTCCCAGGGAGATCAATGTGCGTGTCGACTCTTCCAGGAGCATGCGAGGGGCTTGAGGCACAACCTTATGAAATATTTAGTTTTATTGCCAGTGCTTTTGGGGCGATATGAATAAACACTGCAGGATGATGTATGCCGCGGTCGGGTTTGCAACGGCGTTATGACATTTAAGCTGTCAAAACGAAACAGAACGTGCGTCTGCTCCTCTGGGGCCTTATCCATCTTGTCCAAGCCCTGGTGAGCGATCGGCTCGTTTCTGGAGAGCTCGCCCCGGTGTCAAAAATGAGCTGGGAGATAAAGCCTGGTTTGCTTTGGGGGCTGCTGGCTGCAATCCCACTCCCTGCTGGGATCTCAAAGCGCTGCGGCAAACAGAGGATGTTGAGTGATGCCATCGTTGACCTTTCTGGCACTGGAGGATTGATGCCCGCAGGTACCAGCTGCTGATGGCAGAACCTGTGGTTGGAGTGGCCAAGGAGTCACCCCCAGCCTTGGCAGCCTTGGCCAAGCTGCTGGGGCTCCCTTGCGCCGGGCTGAGCCACCCTGGGCACGCCAGGGCCTGCAGAGCAGCACAGGTAGAGCCAAAGGAGACACCCACATGGTATGAGGCCTCCATCAGCCCCTGTGCTCTCCCCTCCTGAACCTGCCGTGCTCTTTGTCAAAGCCCAGGGGTCCTGGAGATAGAAATCAGCTTTATAGGGGTGCTCTGTCCAAAAATGTGTTTGGAAAGTGGTGTCCTGGGACAAGAGAGCAGTGATATTGTTCAAGGAGTCCTGACACCTACACAACGTGTCACCTCTGGCATTCAGTCTGGTGACAACATGGAGCAAGGCCGGTGTCTCACCGCCTGTGTCAGCTCACATGAGGAGCGTGTTTCATGTTATGTGAAGAAACAAGCATAAGGTGGGCTGTCAGGGTCTCCAGAAAGGATGGTCCTTCCCAAACCTGATGGGATTTGCCACTGATGAGCATAAATGAGGGCCAGCTGCTCCTCTTCAGGTACCTGCTGGTGGCTGAAACCCCTGTCCTGGGATGTGGTGAAGGATAAACTGGAGGACTTTGCCAGGCTCCTGGTTTGCTCCTGGGGAGTGTGGCTGTGCTGTGAGCGGGCAGCCTGCCTGGGAATTAAAGACCAGCAGCGGAGGGACCCCAGGTCTGGGACTGCTCTGGGGTCCTGCTGGGTCTCTGGTCAGGTGCTGTGGAAGCTCCTACCACAGTCAGCAGGGATGGACGATGACCAAGCCAGCTCTGTGAACCACAGCCAGCCCAGTGCGGCACTGGCGGACAGAGGAGAGCACCCTCCTGTTGATACAGGCGCATATCGCTCATTAGCGCTAATGACAGCCTTTCCTTAATGGGAATTCCACACCCTGTGACCAGAGGCAGAAGAGCCTAAGGGAGCAGGACCAGCCGAAGGTAAAGCATTTGAGGGTATGGATGCGCTTTCTGGCAATCTGAAATGTGTTTCTGACTCTCCCCTGCAGTGCAGGGCTGAGGCGTTTCTGGCAGGACAGGGAGGCTCTCCCAGCCCACGCTCCCGCAGAGTTATGCTCTTTTCCAAGGCCAGGAGGCTCATTTGGTTGTTTGGCTTGCGTTGCTTTCTTCTGGTAGCACCTATCTTTGTTCTGACTTGCAGTAACTTCTCGGAGCTGAGGTGGAAAGATCAGAAAGATCCTTTTCCTGAGCAACAAGCGCACGCCTCCTCTCGGGTTGTGTAAGCTTTCATAAAACAGAGCTAAAAACGCATATAAATAGCAGGAACGCACCCAGTCTCACACCCCGTTTTGAGACAACTCCTCGCTTGATTTTTTCTCCCTATCAGACGATCCCACAGCCCTCCCAGCACTGGGTTTGGAGCAGTCGGGCTCAGTGCCTTGCTCTGGCCGGAGCCGCTCCCAGCGAGGTTCTGCTCCACCGAGCTCCTCGCCTGACACCTGGTGGAAAACCCTTCCTGAACCCGGCTGCTCTGCTCCGGTCGGAGCCATCCCCCTGCAGACGAGCTCCGAAATGCCACCCTATCCCGGCTGCTTTTTTGGGGGATTTTTTTTTTTCCCCTGTTCAGGCTGGCAGCACAGGCTGCAAAGTGATTTACTGCCCCATCATACACATGCGCACGTTTCTACATCTGGCCTTTCTTTTCCATGAAGTCAACCGCACTTCTCTGTCTGTAGGGAGTTGGTGAGGCATAATTCATGCTTTTCTCCTCTCACAATCTGTACCAAATGGCTCTTAAGAGCCCAGGCCTTTGCAGTGAACCCCTCGCCTTCCAAGAGTGGAAAACTGCCCTTGTATGTCCCATCCCTGCAGCGAGAGGGAGCCTGAGCAAACGCAAATCCATGGATCTGCAGGGCAAAACACTCAACAGCAAGTGATGCTGTGCCTTTCTAGGTGTGGATTTGGGATGCTTGTCCCAGTTGTGGATATGAGTGGGTGGGTCAGCCTACAGCGTGGCAAAAGGGTCTTTGGGGATAGGGAAGGGAGCAGATCTGTGCCAAATTACACTGTTACTCTCACTGCTATTGGTAAATGTTAAAGCTTTTCCTGTTTCTGCCTTTCACAGCCTTCTACGTGCAGTGCTGAGTTACTTTAACACGTGCAGGCCTCTGACAGAAAACAAGGTGACGTTCTGAAGGGCTTGCTGTGAGAAAATTGGGAGAGCATCCTGAAGCAGGCAACCTCTCAGGGCACAGGCAAAAATAAATCACAACACCATAGGAGTTAGGAAAACAAAGAGACAGAAGACATCTTTAATAGTAAACCAGGCTGTTTTAAAAAAGAAATACTGACAGAAGTCAAAGAGGTGCATGTTGAAATGTTCTGAGGCAGCAACGCTTCTGCACATCACGTTGTGGACAGAGCAAATCCCGCTGAGCTCCGCTGCATCACTCGAGTTTTATAAAGTTTAGTCATTTACATTTATTCTTTATTTTGTCCCTGTGCAGCACCAGAGGCTGCAGGAGAAACGCTGACAGACCTTGTGCAGGTGTCTGCCTTCGTGTCCCACACCACTGGCTCCTCACTGCTCAGACAGACACTGCTCCAGCGCTGCCATGCCATAGAGGTTGGCCCACTCCTCGCCGTGGTGTGACCGGATCACGTCCCTGCAGGGCTTGCTGGCTCTGGCCAGCTCTACCAACACGCCCTGGAAAGCGGCGATGAGCTCGAAATCCACCGAGGCTACAGCAACGCGGGTCAGTAACTCCGAGAGGTTTTCCAGCCACCGCGCCTGCAGGACGGCCTGCGGCAGCCACGGGAAAAGCGGCACGCAGCCGGCCAGGGCCTGCATCCCCAGGAACCAGAGCTCACGGACGTCAGCCCAGGCACTCGCGTAGGCAGGCGACACGGCCACGGCCAAGCAGGAGCCATCAGGGTCGGTTTGGGTGGCGTGGGCCTGCGAGAGGAAGCGAATGGCAGCTCCGAAAAACTCCTTGGCAGACTGGGTCCCCTGAAGAACTGGAAGGAGAAGGAAATGAATGACTCATACAGAGCTCAAGAGCAGGTACCATCCTCCTGCCCCAGAAATCTCTCAATCTCAGCCCACTGCCCTGCTGAATTCTCTGCATGTTCCTTGCTCCTCCAGATTTTTGGGTTTTGTTACTTTTCCAGTGACAGAAACTGGACCCATTTCCCTTGTATTTGCTTTCTCCAGCCCAACCACCCAGACCTGGTCTCTGCCCATGCAGAGCAATGTGCAGCTCTGCCAGCGGGCGCTCCCCTCAC